TTAAACTACTTCAGTCTGTGTGCATTGAATTTATTTAATACACGAGTTTCACAATTTGAGTTGAATTATTGAAATAAATGAACTTTTCCACGACATTCTAATTTATTGAGATGCACCTGTATGTGTGAGTTCTATGACAAACTCCTGTGCTCCACTGCACTCTGAACAAGCAAAAGACACACAAGAGTTAGTGTTTTACATTTTTCACATCTGTGTGTAGTTTAGCATGTATGTGGCTAATTATTTTATGCTTGTGTGTAGAGTTTAATTTTTAAGAGTTAAAGTAGTTTTGAATGAAGAGTTTGCTTTTGGAAGATATGTGTGATGTTTTGAATGTTGTGTGTGTGTTTTGTGGTTTTGTGTGTAGTTTTGAGAAATGGAGCCATAGTTTCAAAAATGGTGTGTAAGCAGTTTTAAAAAACTGTAATAACTGATTGTACCTGTTATTTGAAAAGAAAGCAGTAGCTGGCACTGTGTTAAGTCATATGTTACAGATGCTGTGCAAGGCATAGAGATAGCACACGTACGTCTGCAAGATGTCTGTTAAAGATCTCTTCATCTGGAAAGCATCTGCTGTGTACAAACATCTGATAGACATTTTTAAGATGTCAGTTTTACATACATTCTAAATCATAAACATCTTCAAGACATCTTCTAAACGTCTATTTGACATCTGATAGGAAACAACTCAGAGACGTATTGCAGATGAGCAAACGAGTAAACTCTAAAAAATACATCTTGCAGATGTCAAATAGACGTCTCAGTGATGTATGTGTGCTGAGAACCAGAATCATATTCTATTAGTTTAATTATAACTTAGATACTGCTTCTTTACATAGCCTATAGTTAATTTGTTAGTATTTGAGCATATAAAATGATTTCAAGAAAACCCTTCAACAATCTGCTGGCTTTTCCAGTCGTTTGAGGTTATTGGATAAGGATCATTTTGATTCAGACCAAACAGTGAACCGTTTGACTGATTCATTGAAAAGAATCGACTCAAAAGGACAATTCAAAGCACAATTCACTCACCAACTAAACTTCACCATGACTTGCAAGTAAGTTTTACTCCACACAAGATCAATATTTAATTTATGAGACATTTTACAGCAGAAAATATCTATATTCAAATTTCATCAAGGTTGTATTAATTTCCTATCCAGTAATTGTTAAATTCTATGTTCCCAGGTTTTTCATGACCATTACTCATGTGCTAGCAAAGGACCAGCATAAACCAGCAAAAGGACCAGCATAAACCAGCAAAGGACCAGCTTAAACCAGCAAAGGACCAGCTTAAACAAGCAAAGGACCAGTTTAAACCAGCAAAGGACCAAAACCAGCATCCCAGCGTCAAAACATACCTAACCAGCATATGCTGTTTTTTTCAACAGGGTCATTTAACCACATGAAA